CCATTTGTAAAATTTTCAGCTAGTTTATTTTTAAATTGTAACGAAAATATTTTCAGAAGGACATGCAAAAATGTGTAATTGTCGCTTATTCTTGTTTTCAAGTAAGTCGACTTACCACTGGGCCTCGTTCACCTGGAGGACCCGGTAATCCAGATTTTCCGTCCGATCCTGGAGGGCCTATAGCGCCTGGGAAGCCACGAGTACCTTCCAGTCCCTGTGGACCCCTTTCGCCTGCAGGTCCTGATGGTCCTGGCTGCCCTGTGTCGCCCTTGGACCCCGGAGGACCATCTGATCCCCGGCGTCCTCTTGGTCCTCTGTACCCCTGTAAATAAAATATGACAATTTACACATTTTTGGGGGCTAAATTTCAAATTCAATATAAATTTAACGAAACTTACTCTTGGTCCAGTTTCTCCTCTATCGCCTGGAATGCCGATCATACCCTGAAAAAGATTGCATAGGGATAAATAAATAGACTAATAATAAGTCTAGACCGTATATAATTATATCATTTTTTATTGACAATTAGCTACTTAATATTTATTTACGTATATTGATAGGAATATCATTGAACGATTTTACTAACAGCGAAAACGTCTTGTTAATAATTTTTTTTTTGACTGAGTTGTCACTGTTTGCCTTGAAGAGGCATTTACAGATTCACCGGGCTTGAGATGGCCGAGCGCAGATGGCGCTTAGCCTAAACCTCTTTTATGAGTAATTGTTAATAAAATTTTGGCGGAATTTACATCAATTATTGAATATTACCACAACTCCCTTCGCTCCCCTTCTACCTCTCCTACCCGATGCTCCCTTATCTCCTTTTTCTCCCTGAGTTCCAGGATACCCAGCTAGTCCTTGTGGTCCTGTAGCTCCCTTTTCACCGACTGGTCCAATCGATCCAGTCTCACCTCTAGGTCCTTCAATCCCCTAAAACAATAGAAGTACATTAAACGACTAAAGATAAATTAGTGATATGTTATTTTCGCTATTACTGCAACATGTCAAGAGTAACCGTTGAACAAAACAATTTCTATTTTTGGTGTTCTAGAGGACTACTGTATAATAGGCACTTACTTTCTGCCCTTCCGGACCCTCAATTCCGGGAACACCGGGTTCTCCTGGATGTCCCCTTTCGCCTTTTGGTCCTATTTCTCCCTTTTCACCTTCAAGACCTATGCACACAAAAATTTAGTAACATAAAAAGAATATAAATTATTTATTTTATAAATTACATTCAATATGTGGTTTATGCAAAATTATTCATATTATTTTGTTACTACCTCGTATCCCTTTGTCTCCTTTATCTCCTGGTACTCCCCGGGGTCCGTCATCACCCTTAGGACCGCGAGGTCCTGGAAATCCTAGCATTCCCTGTAAAATAAATTGTTGTAATTGTGTTCTAGTAATTCCACTGCTTTTCAGTCCTTAAGCATGAAACTATTTAATTTTTTACCTGTAAACCTTGAGGCCCCGATTCACCTGGAGATCCTTGTTGTCCAGGGCTGCCCGGTGTTCCAGGAGATCCTTCGGGACCAGGTAGTCCTGATATCCCTGGTTTACCTTGAGGACCCTATAATAGGATAATTTATTTACAACATCTGTAGGGCACATTAAACAATTTAAATAAAATAGTCACCTGTATTCCAGGAGTGCCAATAGGTCCTTGTGCCCCCGTTGATCCTGGAGGTCCCATTGGGCCTGGTTGCCCCGGAGTGCCAGGGGGACCCGGTTGTCCGGATGTGCCCTTTGCTCCTTGTGGCCCTTCATTACCAGGAATGCCTGGGTAGCCGATTAGGCCAGGAAAACCTCTTGGTCCCATAAAACCTCGAGGTCCCTAAATAAGGAAAAGATGGTTCAGTTTATTTAAATAAGATTATAAAATATAAATGAAGATTTTGTTGTAAAATTAGACGATTGTGGTTGAAAACAATCGTTAACATATAATTTTATAAAAATATATACCAGTTCTCCAGATAACCCTGGCGGCCCCGGCGGACCGTCATCTCCCGACGGGCCGTCTTGACCCGGTGCCCCAGTTTCACCTTGTTGCCCCGGAGTGCCGCGTTCCCCTTTGTCTCCGGGCATTCCCGCGAGCCCTGGATAACCTTGATCACCTTTAGGTCCAGGAGCGCCAGTTGATCCTCTTTCTCCATCTCTTCCAGCATGTCCTCGCCTTCCAATACGACCAGGAGGTCCTTGTGGTCCTCTTACACCTGGAGGTCCCTTTAAAAAAGTAAATAACAAATATGAGAGAAAAAAACTAAGGAACGAGTGCTGCAAACCACTCGGTTTACATCATAGGAATCAAACTATGATATTAAAATCTTACCGGTTCTCCTTGCTCACCCTGTTCACCTTTAGGTCCTTCTGGGCCAATATCCCCTTCAGGCCCGGGGGGTCCAGTGAGTCCCATGGGACCGTCAACTCCCCTCATTGCGGTCTTTTAACAAAAAAAAAAACAATTACAACATTACCTCTTTCTCTTTATTGGGTCTTTTGCCAACTATTAACATTGTGAATAATATTATAAATAAAAACAAACCATGTGTTGGGTCAGCATTTGTCGAAGTGCTTCTGCTTGACCATCTGGACCTTTGTCATTACTGGAATGATGCAACTGGAAATTAAATAATAATTTAGTACAATTGTATTGCATTTATTGAGTTACATTATTGCTCTATAGTTACAACTTACTGGTACAACAAAAACATGTCCAGGAGGTCCCGTGAACCCTTGTTGGCCTTCTACTCCAGGCCTGCCAGGTTCACCTTTAGGACCTCTTGGCCCTTGAGGTCCAGGAGGGCCGGGATAACCACGCGGTCCTAGGTACACACCTCTGCCTCCATAGTCATAGTAATTATCAGTGGGATCATAGACAATTGATGAATTACCCTGGGACAACAAAAAGTAATTAAAACGGCTTTCCAAAGTTATGTGTATGGTGATTAAATGATCTTTTATGTCCATTTTTTATTTAAAATTTCAGAACAATCTAGTTCATAAATAATATGAAGTCTTACTTCATATACTTCTGGTGGATGGGTAAGCCAGTCTGAATCTTCTGTAGTCGTCATTGCAGGGTACGAAGCTTCGGTTGTAACGAGAGTAGAATTTTGTATGAAAAAATTGTTATAATTATTCTGTCGTATCGGCTGTAAAAACATACAGTTTTTAGTATAGTTTTTTTTATTTTTTTTATATCTGAACATTCACTTTTCTTTTTTTTTTACTTACTCTTGCTGTAGTTACTGTTACGGTAGGGAAGTCTATGTTATTTAATGGCGTAGAATTCAAATCGTCAATATCAGTAAACCTTCCGAAGATACTATTTTCGTCTGTAATTTTAAAAACAATCGTAACATTCTTATAAAATATGATTAGAAAAAATGGTTCAAAAACGCCTTCCTGACCACGGATTATAACTCACCAGCATCTGTTGATGTTGAATATTGGCTAAGTTGTGCATAAGCATCGGGTGCTGGCCAAAAGGGTTTCGACGTTGAAAGATCCCTTGTTGCTATCGACCACAATTCATTTGATCCATTTCTTACATTTAATGATGGATTTTCATCAACTGGTTCGTATATGGTTCTATCTGTTGGCGGAGGCACTAAATCCAAATCGGGTGTTGGGATATATGAATATGCTCCATCAGTGTTGCCCAATCTGTTTACATTGCCTGTAGATGCTGCACCTTCATACTGTGATCCAAATCCTTCGCAATCTGGTGCTATGGTAAGACACAGATCATACGCTACATCCGGTTTGTTTGCAAATTGTAAGAGCTCGATATCACCCTGTGGATATGAATACGACATTAGCAGATTCAGGTAAATAAAGAACTGAGAGATGAACTTTTATTGAGGAAAAATACCACACGATGTATGATATAATTTAACTCGCCTCGTAATATTGGTCTGGTGTAACCTGTGTGCCAACGACAAGCGCCCCAGCCAAATTGAAGGTGCTGCCCGGCTTTCGGTTCAGTGGAAGTGATTCTCTTATCTCGCAATCCACCAGCAGAGTCGCTGAATCTCCTTTTATGCTCAGACCAATTCGATGCCACCTGATTTGATGAAACAATTGAACATCTAAACTTAGTCTCTATCCATATTACGTTCCATGATTACAGCAGCTATAAACAGTTTACAATGTTGTGACTAGAACTTACTTGCCATCAGCGATATTGACTCGATAGGTGAGCAGTTCGTGATCGGGAGGGTCGCCGCGAGTGTCCTCGTAGTAGAGTTCCACCAGCTCTCCTACCACCAGCTGCAACTGCTCGTCCCCCGCGTCCGAGTACAACACGAATAGTGGATTCTGATCCGTGCCTGAAAACCAAATATACATTAATGTATTTTAATGATGAACACACTAGCATTTGACCACGATGTTTATTGATAAGTGGTGATGTAATCGAATAATAGTAGTTAAGCGAAAAAGTAATGTCTGTTTATTTTACTGTTGAAAGCTTCCATGTCTTATATAAGGTTATCCAGCATAACAATCAGATAATAACTAAGACACTAGTATCTGCTACGAAGAGTAAACACGAGTCTTTAATTACTGTTAAAGGATTGCCAATGACCCAGTTCTTGGAATAATTGATGGAGGCGAAACAAATCCGATATATATGCATCAATTGATTAATCCTATTTCGAAATGTTTCCATTGCAATAATGGACTTAACTCGCTATTTAGCACAAGGCTAAGGTTTTCATTCGTTTTTCTTTAAGAAATACTTTGCTTATAGGCTATTTGGTCACTATTATAAGTAGGTACTGTCTTTTGTCAAGTTTTCGTAATGCCCTACGTTTTATACCTGGCAATCGAACAGAGGCGATAATAGAGAAGTCTTCGGGGAACGTGTTGTAGAACATTCCAGCAGCCAGTTGGTGCAATGTCGCGTTCTCGTTGAGTTGAAGCGCCGAGTAATGTTCAGGTCTGGTGGCGGACGGTTGGCAACGGCCCGCCACTCGCGTCACGCCCTCAGGTAGCTCATCTCCGACCACGGAGAGGACGTCGAAGAATTCCACGTCATCTGTCGATTACAAATTATCAAGTAACAACAGGAAGAAAACAGTTTTATTTATACATGCATATGTATTGTAAAAAAGTTATGTAAATCCTCTTAAAAAATAATGAAACTCAAAATTGCCACTAAAATTTATTAAATAAAAAATACTAGGAAATAATCAGCCGAGTTTAATACGTGATGTAGGCTGTAAGCCTGACTAAAAAAATCTAACATTTGATTGTTTTTATAAAGTATGCGCGAACACGCGTAATAAATACAAAAATAGAAATATTTAAATCGAATAAACAATTTTCACTCACCGTCCCCTTTAGTGCCGAATATGAATAACAATAGAAGTACGAATCGTCTCATCTTAAGAGCCATGGCCTAAATAAATATTTAGGCGGGATTTTATTTACAGTAGGGCCCATCCCGTCCGTCGCAAAAGCGACGTCGGTTGTAGGCTGAAGTTACGTTGTGGTTCACAGCCTCAAGACGACAAAATGCTTTAGGCACATGTCGACGATCTCTGAGATGCGTCGGCACTACTGCCGAGAAGTAGATACTCAATCTAAAAGAACACTTCGCAAATTAGCATGTCGATTGCATTGGTGTCAAAATAATCAAGAACAATAAAAGCTCAGGGGTAACAAACATTTTTTCAAGACTTCAGTGTTTTAATTTTATTTTATAAAACTGCCTATCTGTTAATTCTCTGCTATATTAAAGACAATATCTGTTCTTTACTTTTTAAATACTTTTAGAAATGCCATTTTGTAACCTTTTTATCTATATCTTTACTTCTATACTCTATACTATTATAATAAAGCGCAAACACACACTTCTTTGTTGCCTAAGATAGCAGCAATTACCATACATTTTTGAATAATTCATTTTTTAATAACAAGCTCTACACTTACGTCACGCTTTAGGCTATATATTTTCACGCCATTAAACTTAGGTCGTAAATAGTTTGGATAAAAACCCTAATGTGTGAAATAGACCATAAGTTTGCTGCCAACATAAAGGAAGCAAGATTGCCAAGGTTTGTCATGTCATGTCATTTTGACATTTGCTATTGATAATTTGACAAATGTAAACAATAAAATAAAATTTTCACAATATAATGCGGTTAAAGCCGCACGGGAACAGCTAGTCTATTTTAATAAAATTTGTCTGTACCTAAATCAAAAATGTAAAGAACATAAGCTGTTTATCAATATTTATAAATTGATTTCTGTGTTATTCAAATAATTATTTAATCGTTACTAGATTTCATTTATGAAAAGGTTGGCAGCGGCAGATTTCTAAATGCTTGACGTATCTAATTCCACGCATCACACAAGTCATCCGCACATTCGTTTTCATTACGGGCATGGCGAGATTGCTCCCGTTCCAAATAAATTATTACGCGTTTATGATTAAATGTTGGAATTGTGGAATTGTTTGTTAAAATTAAAACATAAGCTTATTGAAATTACTGCTCTGATCATAAAAACTATACACTTGATATAATAAAACTTTTTTTAAGTCTTTTAAATTAACGTGTGAAAATGCCAATAGCATACGATTGGCATTTTCACACTTTAATTTAAGTTTTTAAGGTCTATAGTCCTCTCTGAAGAATTATAAGACAAGTCGAGCTTGCGTCTACTAAAACTCCATGATGGCCACCAACATCATGAGGAGCCCGGGATCTCCATACAGCAACGGCTGCCACTCCTCACTTTGCACCTTCTAGTCTCTTCTTAAGTCGATGCAATATTTAAGTCACCACTAATCGAGGTTATTCCTGTTAAGCTAAAGATTTACACACTTTAATATTTACAATCATAGACGACAGAGCTAAACTTGGTATAATTTTTTTGTTTATTTATCAGACACAGAACAAACACAGATTGATTATAATAAAAGCTATGTTTGTCCACTTTTGGTACTACGCTTTAAAATTAACATGTAACAGTTGGTAAGATCAGATTTTTTTATTTTTACAGTAATTTAGTGAGTTTATACCTTCATATACAGGATGCACATACGGGTTATGATTTTTTTTTAAATCAGTAGATTTTTGTTAATTTACTAATATTCCCTTTAATCATTCCGACTCTCTAAGCTCTAGGCTTGGGCTAGCCCAACCATATCTAGATATGGTTCACGACAATAGTCGAATGGCGGGATTCGAATCCTTGACCGCAAGATCGGTAGTCCGTACCCCAAACCATTAGGCTATTGGCGCTTAATTAATTGGTGATTATAAATTAACATAGTGATTTTTTTTTATATTTTATAGTTAACATTATGTTTAATATCGGGAGGTAAATTATTTATCATTCTGCTGTACGCTTGTAAATATGGGTATGTTCGGATATCGTTATGCCGTAGTAAGAAATTAATCTAAACCACTACAGACACTTTGACCTTCCTTCATGGATACTCCATTAGTGAAGCTAATTGCACGGAATTGTTAAATGTTATCAGAGGGCGGGCGCAAGTTGCGTGGAAGTGGCGAACTTGGATCATTAGTTACCATCGCATGGTGCCGGCTGAATCAATTACAGTAACAAAGCGTTAGGATGTTAAGCACGTAGTTACCTAAAACTAGGTCAACCTTGACACGCCGACTAACGGACCTAAAACGATCTAGTTTGTGCCAGCCGAATAAACGTAAACCCTTATTTGTATTGCATCGATTTGTTTTGTATTGTATCCTTTCGACTCTCGCTCGGTGTAATACCACGAACACCCAGAAAACTGGCGTGAAGGGGAAGCAATTCCACGTTTCGTCTTATGAGTGTGGCGCCGGAGGCGTAATTTTAGTCCTTTTCCCTTTCCACCGTTTCCTTAAGAGGGAAGGAAAAGTGGATTTGACGGTGGAGGAGACGCAGAGGAAGGGGAAATGTCCTCTTTATGAGCTTCTCCTCCTCCGTCAATGAAGGGTAAGCAACGCATCTGCAATTGTGGATGTTTATGGGCAGTGGTCGCTTTCCATTTCGGTGGTTTCACGTGGCCGCTTGCTCGTTTGCCACCTTATATTATAAAAAAAACACTATAGTCAGTTGGTAAAATTGGTAGGAATGCTACAAATAAAAAACCTTTAATAGTAATATAAATATGTATTTTGATTTAGATTCGTATATTTTTTTCAGATTTCACAACATCTGGATGTGTTTTCTTAAAAATGTCTTCCTCCAACAGACTTTCGTAGAGCTTGTGAAGTATCGGGTATTTGTTCAAATCCACAGCTTGTCTGAAAAAATATAGATAGTAAAAAATTGTCACAGAAAATAATAAATGTACTTATAATATAAAATTTATTTACTCGTTTAGGAGAGCATAGAAAATAATTCAATGTATTTTTGTAGAAGTTTTATATTGGTCACATCAAGCATTTGATATCTTAAATTGAAAACTTGATATGTCTTAATGATAAAATTCCTTCATAAATTTCCCTTGAGGATATAGAGTACATTATTACATTAATAACATACATCGCGCAGCGTTCACGGAGATTGTATGAGGGTGTCGAATAATCGAATTCTCACGGCGCAATGTTAGGACAAGTGAATACCTTCTTGCAAAATATTATTCACACTTAAGGGAGACCCTTAGTCTTCATTTATGTCTAAAATCTACTACTAACGTGACAATAATAGAACTCTGTCAGTTCATGTATTGAAAGATGATAGATTGTCTTTTGTTTTGGTAGAAAAGCTCTGTTATTATCTTATCTCAATAATATTGGATCTGTGACTTGATTTTTGTGGACGCAGAACAGATCTGCAGTACAAGTGTAGTTAGCCCATGATTCAATCAAAAGTAAGTAGCCTATGTGTTCTTCCAGACTAACCTCTACATCTATATAAAATTTCATTGAAATCCGTTCAGTCGTTTAGGCTACAAACTCTGACAAACATCCGTCCATCTAAACTTTATTAGTATGATTTTAAAATATGAATCTGTATTTATATTTACTTGTTCACAGCATTATAGACTTGTGGTACAAGACACAGATCGGCCAAAGTCAGTTGGTCTTTGACGCAGAACTTTCCGGCGGTCGATTTCAGTTGGTCCTCGACTGTCATAAGACCTCGTTCCGTCCAGTACTTCGTGAAGCTTCGGAACTTCTCCTTGCTGTCAAAATGACTTCTTAATCCTATATTTTGTAACGGTTGGATCCCGGATACTATAATCTAAGAATAAAAGTCCGTTATTAGATACAAAAAGTATGGTTATCAAAAAACAAAAAATGTTTTATGCTGTTGTTTTGACACTGAAGAACTAATCAGCCTATAAATGCGCTGTTATCTGTAACTAAATGGTTTACACATTTTACAGGCAAAATAGTCGTCAAAAAATTAGACCAAAAGCTGTATTTTTTATTTTGTCAAACCTCGCATATTTCAGTCATCCTGGCTTTTAGTAGCGGTGTTTTGGGTGTCAATGTTGGTTCCGGTCGTGTATCTTCTAGATATTGCAGTATCGCCATCGACTCCACGATAGTTGCTCCATCTAGTATCATTCAATTAAAATTTACTTTTATATACTTCGATAATATGTTACAAATAGTATTCTTATACCATAACAATTGCAGTTCCGATATTGTTATATTTTTGTGTACCATAATGACTTGACATAAAACAACAAAGACACAGACACATTCAACAGAGTAATGTTATTACAATTCATTGTACAATCTGTGACCTAAATAGCGATCAATTTAGTGTGGCTTTTTCTACGATTCATTAAGTGGCGACGTGTTCGTTAAACGTTAGAGTTATTGACCGATCCATTTAGTATTGGCGACGACCATTCAAATCACACTCGATTGTCTAAAAGATAGATGGCTTTGCAGTTAAAATATTTAGGTACATTTAAGGTTCTATTTTACTGAATTTGAAACTGGATAATAATGATTGAGTTACCTACATACTTCTATGACATATATGCTGATCTTGGTAAGGGTTACTAATTATTAAAAGATGTTGCATAAATACGACAAAATGTATTTAAACAGTGCGACAATAAACCAAGATAATGTAAAGAATGTCAGAATCTCATCAAGTAACCCTTATTTTTTGAAGAAGGTGATTCAGTGAAAAATGTGTAAAAGTGCGTATTATTTACTGAATTTAAATGTTTGGACTGGGAGTGCTAATGACGTTGATAATAGTGAGAGTTGAGTACCGCTTGTGCGACTGATGGACAATGCATTGTGACCCTTGGACCTTGTGACTATAGCCCATTATGTCCCGTGGGCGCTATGACTATGGGCCATTGTGATAGTACAACAATGACGTCAGCAATACTGAACCACGTAGAAACGACCTATTGTTACACCCTAATTACAAAACATGTTAAATAATAAATGATATCGTGGTATTATGTTCACTGATGTATGAAAAAAGGGGATGAAAAGTTGGTGATTGGAATTTAGTGTATTTTTTAGATTACTAGAGCTTTATAGCAGGCAGTAGTGACTAATTACGATTCTAAGCAAGTGTTTAAGAAAAAAATAATTGTGCGGCCTTAAATTAAATGAGTAATAGAATTTTACGAGGGGTTTTGCGTGCGATATTAACAAAGAATCTGAAACCGTCTCAGCAAACACTTCAAAATGATAGCCCACTCAATAATGGTGAGACGACATTGTTATTCAAAGCGAAAATCAAAGTTCACGGCGTGATTGTGAATTTCCAATCAATTTAAATCGGATTGGTTTCCCAATTCAAGTTATCGCTGTGAAGGGGGACGGTGGCAGGGGAAAAAATTGGATTTTGTAGAGTGCTTTCACTCCGTGTCATTTGACGATATGCTTCCGAAGTTAAGAGCTCACACGTTACAAGGAAGTGTACGTAATTCGTAAAAGTTCATGGCAAAGGCATCATGGGACACATAACGTTGATCGAAAATTCCAGAACATATTTGCCCGCGAATCTTTAAGTATACATTTAGCCTTTTATCGAGATGTGAACATAAAAATTTAGCGTTTTAATAATCTGTATATCTATTCAAAGTGTTGTAAATTTAAAAAATATCAAAGCTTTATTATTTCTTTTTCATACATTTTGCATTAAATTATATATTGTCGTCAGATGTTTTTGCTTGGAAAGATTTAATATCGTGCTATAATCGAGCTTAGGGAATTACTTGCCCTGAGGGCGTGTTTACATGTTTTTGGAGGCACAAAGAACTTGTTTATGAATATATGATGTCACAAATTAATGTGATAAGGTTGTAAACATAAAAAATGTAATGAAAAATATACATTTTTTATAACAAGAAAAAAATACTAGAATAAACATTCGCCTCGATTATACATAAGTGAACTTTTATAATAATAATAATAGATCAAAAACAAACGACCAATTGCTATTACAAAAGGCCAACAAAGTTTTAATTGCTATCTAATAAAAACAATTAATAAGTCTGTTGTTAGATAGTTTCAGCTTCGCAAACTGTTTACTCTGTTAAGTCGTGTTCACAGATGATGTAACTGTGTAGTTAATTCGCTTGTGGCGAAAGACAAACAGGCAATACCACTACACAGTGGGTAAGTTATAAAATTGCGACCTGAAAAGCCCATTTAGAGCGCGCGCACAACTTTGACTAAACTATCGCAAAACTGTTTAGTTGCGCTTTGATTCATATGAGCTTATATGAAGGTGCCCACACTACTCGATTTTTAGTTGTGCAACTAAACATTTGGGCTGCAAAACAATCGACAATCGCAAAACAGTTGTTCGATAAGGCAACTCTACATATGTAGTAGTGACAATTATTTCTAGAAACCGATAATCATTCTGTCAAACAGCATTTAAAAAAATGCAAAATCCGTTACTTTGCAGAAATGTACTTACCAATAATAAGAGCGGGAACCTTCTGTGCCGGGTTGATAGCTCTGTACTGGTCCGTGAGATGGCTCTGCTCTCGTACAATGTCTACCGATTTCTCTTCGTATGGTACACGTTTGATATAGAGTGCAGCGCGCACACGCCAAGAACACGAAGATAACCAGTACGCGTAAAATACAGCTCGGTCAGCCTGATTGTTAAATTAGCATATTTATATATATGTAATATTTTTTGTAGGACACTAACTGCTGCTCACGACTTCGCCCTCGTTCAATTAAATATAGCCTTTCTTACTCACTGATAACGTAGCTTTTTAACAGTGAAGAAATTTTTGAAATCGGTCCAGTAGTTTTTGAGTTATTTCAATACATACAAAAGTACAAACCTTTCCACTTTATAATATTAGCATATAAGTTTGCAAGAGGTGTAAAAACTAAAGCTCAAGGGGACATGGTTGTGCTCCGCATGGAGTTTCCATTCCCCCTTTTTAGCGATGTTAGCGACCATTAAGAATAAATCCGCAAACTTTGACGGTCACCACGGTCCCGAAACTGAAGTGACTTATTAAAATCTGCACCAAGTAACAAGGTTGCTGATGCGTTGCCTATCTTCAATGGACTAAGGATTCGGCCCCCCCAATCTTAAGATGTATCCCTCTTTTCATCTTTTACTTACATTGTAAGGGGAATAGCAAGTCACTGTACATCGTTTTTCGTTTCAGAGTTTCGCTTATTACAATTTTCTTTTAAATGAGATAATAATAGAATCTAGAAAAGGGTAAGTCTATGGTATCGGGAAGAAACCGCCTTTGAGCGACACGAAAATGCTTTCGAACAAAGTTAGCGGTTGACCAGTTGCGGTTTTCAATTGTTCTTATTGGAGACTTAACGTTTGTACCTTCTTGGGTAAAACATTATTGTTTTTAACATTATTTCTATACATTAAAGTTAAATAGATAATTAAGAGTACTGGGTACTACTAGAGGATGGATTTTAGTCTAAATTCGTTTTAGTTTTTTGTTCATTGTAGTAGGTACATTGTTTTGTTATAATTTAGTATATTATAAATTAGTTATACACAAATCATAAACGGATAGGTTGGTTGTCAAGTTTATTATCTTATTGTTAATTAGCGATATAAAAATTCTAATTGGCAATTAAAATACGAATAGATTAATGTGTAAATGCAAAGAAAAAAAATGACAAACCGAAAAGTTAGGTTATAATGTGACGTATACATTTTGTTTTATATAGATAATAAAATAACTGCCAAGTTGATGCGTTATCTTACATTAACCTTTTTAAATGACAGACACTGTATGTAAGTTAATATTAAAGTTATATCTGTCTTAATTTGTATAACTTGATTTTTAATGTTTACTATATCGCAACTAATTTAAGATTACTTACCGCCATTGTCGCTTAAGAAATGCAGTTCCAATAATGTAATTTTTAAACTAATTACACTTATAACATTATATATTTAGCGTAAGTGATTTTGTAGCTGTCATATGTATTTGACATTTGATAAACAAGAAATAGAAACTTGTTTGTTTACCGTGTCACATTTCCTTGTAATGCACAATCTCAATAACAGATGGCGCTTTTTTAAAACAAGATATATGGTATTTCAAAAAAGAGAAGGTATGGAAAGGATTAAAAATACACCATTATGCTGATATACATTTTGTTTATTTACATAACATATTAGGACATAATACTCTAAAATATATTTACTGCAATACTTCTAATAATACAGTCACTATTAAAGATACAGCATTTAGGAAAGCGTTAAGTATTTTATTCCAATAAGCAAATTTTTTGCATTAATATTGCGGGTTATTTAATATAATTTTTTTAATATTAATTAAGTATTTAAATTTGGATAAAATAATAATGATCTATTGAATAAAAAAACAACATTAATCTTTAGATGTCTTCGTTGTATTAATTTAAATTATATTTTAATTTTGGTTATGTCGTAGTCACTCGTCACATGTATCTGGATTATTTGCCCTATATTCAGTAAACTAACTTATCGATTTACGATCTACTAATAGTATATAAGGTTATGTTACTAAAATACCTATTTTAAACTTTGGGTTTATTGCTTTTATCATAGAAAAATTATTATCAATCATATTTAAGACTTATGTCATATTATACTAAAAATACTGTTAAAATATTCAATACAAACAATAAATACTTAACTGTTTACTATAAAAACGCTTTCCAAATCCAAAGGTTCTACTAGTACATTTACGCCTAATTTTAGCATTATTAGTTTTATTATTGCCTAAAATAAATATGACTTAATAGGATCTACATTGAGTGTTTGAAATTGGTCATAATTATTGTACTGTTTTACTAAATTTATTTGGATAGCGAGTAACGTTAGAATTATTGTTCCTTTTTAACACCCGACACAAAAAGAAATCGGTATTTGATATGGCACGTGGGGTACAAGATTTTGTACTGCCTGATGTGCCAATTCAAGAACCTTGTACTGTACCATTTTAGTTTCGTGTTGAGGTATTTCTAAACTGTAATTTATTAAGATATCTTTAAGACTTTGTCCAGCCGTTCTCTTTACTTCTTGATTTCTTTGTGTCGAGTGTTTATTTTTAAGTTTAAATTTTTGTCATTAGCCCCATCGTAATGGCGAGCCCGGTGGTCGTATGAATGTGGCCCTTGTTTGTGCGGTTACGATACCGTTTCTGTTAGTATCCGGTGATCCGTAGAACGCGTGCAGATGTCGCCTGTGGTGAAGTTCGTGTCCCCTGTGAGATAGACTTTGTAGTCGACTCCACAGAGAGAATATTCTCTTTTTAACTGTCCGTCTATCCGTGTTACCTGAGAAATTTGAAACGTTGTTATAATATTTGTTGTCCCACTTAGAATCACTGATCATCCACTTAATTAGTCCCTTAGTGTTAATATTTAGTCATTATCATCCTGCACTATTCCATACTCACTTTAAAGAATTCACTTCTTTCTTATAGATATCCTAAGATTATTAATCAGTCAGTATGAGAAATAAATTGACTGAGGCCTGAAGTGTACACTTGTTATATAAAAATTAATAGAATTAGAATTAAGTGGTGTTTCAGAAACGACGTTATCATAATTCAATAGTTTTGAATGTACATTATTTAGATTTCATAAAATGTGTTATTATAATACGATTGTCAATTTGTTTGCAATTTCTTGTATTGGAAATATTCAATTCAGAGACGACGTTTAATATAATTTTAGTTCGAATCATATAAGTAACATCGGACGATAAATTCCATTTGATGTATTTACTGCCTATTCCATTAGGGACACTATTACTGTCGTCATCACGCAATATTATTACATGATAGCTTTATTAATGGATATTATATATCCTGTTTAGTGTTAAATATAACACTGAAATGCAACATGCGTTTGTACATTTTAATGATCAAATAGACTTCAAGACGTTTTAAAACATGCAGACGAATGACTTTCTCTTTTTTGATGTCGTTTCAAAGGGGATAATTCATAAGATATCTTTTGTTTAGTATTTAGTTAACTGTCGAGTTGTTTGATTTCGTCTACTTTATTTTAGAGTAAAAGAACTAGACGTGTGAATTTTAATGAATTGACTTACCATTTTCAGTTTCAAATTCTTCCTCGGACACTTCATTATCATGATTTCTGATAGGCTTTTCCCTTTTAACTTTCACTACGTTAGCCACAGGTTCGATAACTGAAGAAACAGCTTTAGTATAATCATTGTCTTTTCTCTCTTCATTGTCTTCAAAATTTGATAGAAAATTGGGATATTCACTTGCATCTTTATTATCTCGTAAGTAACTTAGTTGTACTTTCAAGATTAAAAAGGGGTTATTAGCAGCTACAATAGTGTCATAAATATTACGATTGCCATCTCCGGTATCAAATATAATTTCGTCAGTTGTTAAATCGTCAAAATCATTTATAGATTCTGGATTTGCAGACTTTACTTCATCGGTCCTTACGTCTTTGTAGTTGTGAAGTCGATCCAATTGTCTTGGATAATTATGCCACTGTTCTTTCCGGAAACCCTCGTCATCGTAGTTTTGTTCTTTATTTGTATTGTCACTAACATCTTTAACGTCTTGATTGTTGTTGTCAGGGTAAATAGCGTTTATTTCTTTTATTGGTACAGCTAAGTAATCTTGCGATGGTCTTTTGTTATAATACATATCATTAGTATCTCTATGTGGATGTCTATTACTAAATGTATCGTCGTCATGGTTGTCTATATTATACGACTGTGTGTAGTCTTTGTTAAATAGTATTGGAAGAACATCGCTCGAGGAGAGTGCCACCGTCGTTAGTATTAATATAGGAAGCATAGATCGGCTCATCTGAAACAAATGAATGTTGCATTTAGTTATGGTAATATTGTAAAACGAGCTGTTGCCCGCGACTTCGTCCGCGTGGTATTAGAAAACATACGAATTATATAAATTACAAAAAGCTACGTATCCCTCGGGAACCGGACATTTATCTGGGATGAAGCTTATCTCATGTGTACTCCAGACTTTGTTTTATAGCTGTGCCAATTTTCAATAAGATATGTTGAACCGTTGCAGAATGATCGAGTAAACATTAAAAAACTAAATTAATTAATCCTACGGGAACCGTAACTATTCCCGGGATAAAAAGTAGCCTATGTGTTCTTCCAGACTATGGTCTTAACCTGTGCCAAATTTCATGTAGATCCGTTTAGCCGTTCAGGCTACAAACGCTAATAAACATCCATCCATCCATCTAAACTTTCGCATTTATAATATTAGTAAGATTTCAAAATTTAAGTTGTTTATTATATTTTTTTCTATGTCTTTACTAATCCAAGCATACATTAATTTGTAAGACGTAATAAGAAATCACTTTCGAATCATTATGAAAATGAATCCATTGTTGTAAACATTTTATTTGCTGTGCCACTAAAAAATCGTTTCCTAATATAAATCTGATTAAAATTCTAATGTAAAGACCAAAGAAGTGTAAACATTAGTAGTTTTCCATAGTCTAGTATTAATTTTCCACAGGCCTCTTAAAACTTGTGCAGAGAGTGAAGGAAATTTTAATCTGTGTTCAAATTATTGAACAGTCCCGCCGTTCGTAACTTTCAAGCGGCTTTGTTCACTTTGTATCACTTTCGCTTAGTTTCACAATGGAAATATGTGGATTCGGGAAAGTTATTTAATCACTTTATTTATTAGCTATTCGTATATGTTAAATTAATTTTACATACAATCTATACTTCTACACTAATATAATAAAGTGTAAATACGCACTACTTCATGTCAACAATTACATGATATTTTTGAATATTTTTTTCTTTAATAGATATCCCTACACTTACGACACGCTTTAGGCTATATATTGTCACGCTATATAATTGATAGTTTGAAAAATGTAAACTTGATGCAATTTGGCGTATACCTACCTAAAAGCTACTCACTTATGTTTTATAAAATTCCACAAGGACGGGCTTACGAGCGAAAACCAGTACAGTAAAAAATCAAAATATGTTATCAAAGTAACAATACCATTCTGTAACTACGTTTATCGTTTAGTTTGTCGTGCTTGAATGTTGACGTTACAATTGTACTGTAGTGCACGTGATTAATGACCTCTGTAGGGTTCATTATTAACGACTACTGTCACCACCCACAAGAAAAATAGCCTATGCACACAGCATTTAGAACAGTTCGCAAATTGATGATATTCTATTTTTAAGCGATGTTAAAACAAGAGATACCTAATCTCTTAATGCATGTAATTATCAGCGCCAGGGATTTGTTAATACACTTACACTATTGCTCGACTTTATCTGCGCGGAATTGAAAAATAATAAAAAAAACAATGCCCATGTTACTCACAGATAAATTACCTCTCTAATGGTGAAAGAATTTTTAAAATCGGCCCAGTAGTTTTTGAGTTATTTCAATTCATACAAAAATACAAAACTTTCCTCCTTATTATATTATTCTAGAAATATAGATATCGTCATCCCACTCAATAAATAATATTTCTAAATATGTTCTCAATAACAGAAAAAACATAGGCGAATTGAGTACCTCCTTCTTTTGGAAAGTCGGTCAAAAAAGAGCCAACAATATGTCGCAGTCTATCACGGCTAGGTTTCTTTTATTTCTTAACAAAACCAATGCGCGGCTTATCTTAATTCAAAAATATGTGCGTTATTTATAGATTTAATGCACGTGTATTCAGTACAATAAATTGTATTCGAAACGTTCCTTTTGAATGTCTTCAACACTTGTACGAATGTTTCTTTTACTTTTAGTACAAACGTGATTTTTCCCTCGGGTCGTTACGCGAGAAACTCTATAGCACTACAAAGGGAATGAGTGTTAGTACGGTACAAATATAACGTATAAGTTTCGCACTAGAGTATTTCATTACTTTAAGGCGTGAATAGCTTGGATTTACTTTATGACAGATTGGTAAACAGATAATTGAGGGTACGATTACGAGTTTGTTCTCGATTTGTTTTGTAATAAGTCGGTAGTTTCATGACAGAGATGTATCAGTATATACTGTGCCGATTTTTCGTGGGTCATAGATGATGAGATTTAAAGGAAGGTTGGAAGTAAGAAAGAATAGATGTTGATGAAGGAACAGTCTTAGTATGGTTTTAAGAAAAACAATCGCATTTAATATGAGATAAGTTTTAAAGGTTATTTATTTACTATATTGTTTAATTTGTCAATAACACTTTTATGTATATTACATAGGTTATTTTGAGTAACAGATGATATTTCATAACAACCTGTGTTAACTTATGTTAGTTGGATTTAATTAAAACCGTCGCACCACTCGTTAGGGTAACTTACTGCGGTTAATAGTTAATATTGTAACTGTGATATTTGAGACTTAGTTTTATATTATTTTCTTGACTTATGTTTTGAAAGTCTTCCATGTCTAGAATACAAGCAGTTCACTTATTAAATGGTTATCTTATTTTTGCAATTAAAATATCGACAGCTTGTTTAATTTTATCGTGTAGCGAAACACGCTTAGTTTTATCTGAAACTGTCCATTTGAAACTTACGTGTGTAGGCAAAACTGAAAACTGAACAGTTACCAGTTTTGTTAAAACTGAGCGTGTGTAGCGGGCTTTACAGATTTCCCACTTTCTGTACCGACAGCAGAGTTTGTATTTCAATGTTACATGTATGGAGGGATGAATTGCATGTAACACGAAGGTTAGTTATGAGTGTGGAGGTACACCGGTAGAGATAGACGTAGAAAGAGATGGATGGATTGCGTGAAAGGTGACATGATCTAGAAGGAAGTGATGACTGAGATGACGGATGATAGTTATGTGGAGGACGAAAGTCGGTGCGCCAACCCTACGAGAGTAGGATAAGATAGGGAAAATGACGTCCGCTCACTATAACGTAGTTTACCATTCATATGCATCAGTACGCAGTTAGAAAACACACTTTTTTAGTCCTAAATATTTACGGTTATAATTAGTCCTCTCTGCCCCAATTTATTTGGACACATTGAGGTCAGGAATGAATTTATTACTCTTTTCCCGTGTTCTGGACTGTGAAGAATTTGCATAGTATCAGATTCATATGCCGTGTTATGACAGGTCTGAAAATAACAAACATTTATTCAGCGTATTTACTGTGCTTAACCGTTTTTAATGCAATAAACTTAACGGACAACTGGGGTGGGACATATTTAGCACATTGTTAGTGTACAATTTTACGGGAATCAGTGATTATATTGACTACTATCCTCAATGAATTTCACAGGTTATTTTTTTATAAAACGGAATTCTTAAGTCGGTAAATAAATAGGATATGTTCTATAGTTAGTTAAGTAGTATTTTAGTGTCCACATAACGACATTCGTAAGGGACTTCTTTAGTTTCATTAAACTATTCTGAGTGACAATTAGAACTTTGATTCACATTAATGTTAGATATATATTTTGTCTAATTGTGAACATATTGTAAATAGTTGCTATCATATTTATATTCAGAGATCGTCTAGTAAGCAGGTTACTGATGTAGAAATTGATTCCCGTTCATCTGAGCGTGAGTTGGGCCGTCTACCATTACCGTGTCTGATTTTAATTTTATTTATTTTCCACCCGGCTGCAAGTCGCGACAGTCGCTTCGCAAACGACGATATATTATATATTTCTCAATTGAAATCATACTACTATAAATGCGAAAGTTTAAATGGATGGATATATGTTTCTTAGAGTTTTTAGCCTAAATTGCTGAACGGATCTGGATGATATTTGGCATTGGTGTAGAACATAGTCTGGAAGAACACATTGGCTACTTACGGCGGAGTCGTGGGCAAAAGCTAGTATGTATATAATTTGTAAACAAATCTTTCGCTGATTACAACCTTAGTATACGTATATGTATATTAGTATAGTATATGGGCCATAAAAAACAAACCACACAAAAGTAACGATTAAAAAGTATTTTCTTTAACTTAAGTTCTACACAAACAGGTCATAAGAAAAACTTTTTAAAAAAGCTCAAGTAAAATTTACACCGAAAAGCAAGCGCATTTACTTTTTAATAGCGCTTTAAGAGGTTTAAGTGCGCCACCATTTGTTCGGATACTACAAACCGACCAATCCGATGCTTGAGATTCGATTTTGTCGCCGACACTTTGTCGGCTTTGAAACAAAATCGGCTTTGAAAGGCCACGAGTCTTAACTTTTTGCAGTTATATTGTTTTTAAAGACCTCATTATAAAGCGTATTTATTTAACCACAAAACATAATGCTGAGAAAATAATGTTCAATGTATTTTATAAATTAAATAAAATATAGATCGTTTTATTAGGCCTTGGAGTGCAGTTCACCGTAAGAACGCTGGATAAATTATATACATATGAAATTTGAGAATCGATAACCACATTGGCCGAAATCGAACTCAGGACCTATAGATTACAAATCGACTAAATCCCTGAGCCACCGACTCTTGATAAGCATCAATAGCTGTTTTTTTTTTTTTAATTCTCTTTCATGCTATTCAAAATTTGCATGGTTTTTACATTCTACTTTTGTATACGAACGCTAATAAAATTTAATCGCATGTTAAAATAATATCTAAGTATATGTGTTCAAATAATCGTATGCAAAGTTTGTGTGTTTGCAAAGTGAACATATTGCGTCGCTAACAAGTTTAAATTCTCCTTAAACTTTAAATAATATTAAATTAAACACTTGGAAGTTTCACTTGCAGCTGATGGTTCGCACACAGTCTGTATTCTTAATGAGAGGTAAACGAATTTAACTCAAATAACGCATTAAAAGTTGCTGAAGTGACGAACTTAGGGTGCTAGGGACTACGAAG